CCATCGGAGGGCCTAATCCCATTCCCATTCACCGATTGCCTCTTTGAAGTTTCTGTAAACTTCAGAGGGAGCGGATGGATAATCACACTGAGAGGGACGCGAACGGCGGCGAAATTGAGGGGTGCGATACGGCGGCGGAATGGCCGTTCTCCGATGACAGGGATTCTGTAACGGTGACGCTTGAGGAGCCGCTGTTGCGGACCAATACTGCCAGGATTAGTACTACCTCTCAGCTCGCCATTGTTGGTTCTAATGTCTGTCCAATCGAGAGCCTGGACTACGAGTATGTATATTATGTACTCCTCATCTTTTCAACTCTTGTTGCTTCTTATTTTCTTTGCGTTTGCGATCATGTTGTCGATGATGTGATTTTTGGTGGTTTTTTTGGTTACTTGCGTTATGTACTGATCAGCAGAATTATACTTCTCTTTTGTGTTGATTCGGATTGCATTCTTTTCTTTTCGTTCTGTATATGGAATGATCTCGTGTCGTATGTTGTACCGAATGCTTAATTTCTTCCTGTAATTCTTCTTGCTCCTCTGGTACCATAATTAGTTGGTTAGGCGTTCTTAGCACGTATAACTATACAACTACTAATGGAAGCTAACTTGCAACTAACTAACTAATTAACTGTAGCTTCGTTGGCTATTGATGTGTAAACTGGCCTAGGTAAAAACAGGGTATTATGAGTGACACTTTCAGTAATCAATAGAAATTATTTTCTTTGGGATTTGGATTCGCCATTGTTCTGAAGTCTTGGCCTCTTATCTCTATTTACCTCTGGATCTATGCTTGTCTGGTGATCTATTAAGGTGTTACATGAGGATGATTGACTTGTCAGTTCTTTTGCTATTTAACTTTTTTTCCGTTGAAGAAATGTAGAAAAGCATTTTTTAGTGAAAGAAGTCTTCACATTATTCAAATCCTACCCCTTAATATTAAAGAAAACTGGTAAATGGCCTCTGAAATCTTGAATACCAAAAATCAACTTGAAATATTTAAGAACATATTATAAACTATTATCAACTTGAAATAAGTAAAACATCACATGATCATGGAACAATATGTACAATTACAATAAAAACATAACAATGCTAACATTACCGATTTTTTATTTTCTCTTGGAATACCAGATTCTCACAACCTAAAAAGTTTCTGTGGTGTTTTTGTTTTCTACTATTCTTTTAGGAATGTTACTAATGATCTAAACTGGCCACTTTGTTGATTCTGCATATAATCCTCACTTTCTTTTTACTTTGTAATAGGATTATTGAGAATGATCTTTTCAAGCAAGACTGGAGGTCCAGAACAAAGATTGAGATATTTCAGTATATTATCCTCAAATGGACACTGTGCCTTCTCATTGGTTTATTTACAGGGCTTGTTGGATTTTCCAACAACATAGCTGTTGAGAATATTGCTGGTGTGAAACTTCTGATGACCAACAGTCTCATGCTCAAGCAAAAGTAAGCTTTGTGTGACGCGCAGTATAAGAAGTATTTGATTCATATAGCATGATAGAACCTTACAAGGCCATGTTCAAGGCTTGAAATAGAATTTGTGATAATGAATGTTCCCTATGTCCCTTACAATTCAACATAAGTACTCTAATGAACTAATCATTATATTCAGTACGATTCTTTATAACAATGTCAAGAAGGGTATAAATGAATAGATTAATTCTAGTCTGATGGTTGACACATTTAAGATTCGAGCAGATATAGTTTAAGAATTAATATAGTACTAATATATTAAAAAAAAAGAAAGAAATTTTACGTTTGAATTATTGGAACAGCTTTTTCTTCTCTTTTAAATTAATTGTCCCCTTGTTATGTCTACTTAAAGACTTAGTCTAAATTTGTGTGTAAGGGGAATTGTTAGAAGTAAATATAAATTAATCCCGATCGTGTATTTATTTTTTCTAAGACCAGGTAATTGAGCACTTTTTCCTCTTTTCCTGTCATGAAGTTTGAAGATTCATGCACCTTTTCTGCATCATTGTCATTCAGCTCACTATGTGGCATTGTTCTTTCACTGTAATTGATCTAAATGATCTCAAAATCTTATCTTGCTGCAAATTGTCCATATGGGTTCTATGATTTTTCTTGCTGTGTTTCTTTCTCAATGTACCCATTTTAGATTTATATGTCATTCATACATTTCTTGTATATTACACCAACTTTGAGATGACCATTAGCTTCAGTTCAGGTACTATCAGGCATTTGCAGTATATGTTGCTTCCAATGTTGTTTTAGCTGTTGCTGCTGCAGCCCTCTGTGCCTATATTGCTCCTGCTGCTGCAGGTTCTGGCATACCTGAGGTGAAAGCATACCTAAATGGTATAGATGCTTATTCTATATTGGCTCCAAGTACCTTATTTGTGAAGGTAAGCCTCAGTTTAGCACCATTCCGTTTTCTCTGTCTTTTAACACTAACAAATAAGTAGTTGCTTATGGTCTCGACCATTCAAGGAAAAGTCAGCATCATGTATAGTATAAGCATTTTGAATGACCTGGGATCCTATTCAAACAAATTGTTGTGTGGCTTTCTGGGTTTAAACTTGAAAGATTCATGAGCAGCAAGTCTTAGTATTAATTTCTTGAATTTGGTAATATTTGGATGAATCTTATGGCAATGTCTTGGTGTCTTAATGAGCTGGAAAGATGATACACCCCTACAGAGATTCACTTCTGCCAGGCGGTCTAAGGAGTATGGTAGGAAGAAAATAGCAAGGAATCAGGTGGTTAGATATAGATAAGTGAAGGATAGGGCATGTACCTAACTATGCCGAGTCGTATGAATAATGTGTTAGGAGTGGGTGGGAAGAGATCATGAATGAAATTATACTTTGATTTCTTGCTTTGAGTCCTATCAAAAAGATATTGTGAGTTGGGCGTTTTCTACACCAGAAGAAAAAATGACATTTTTGTTTTGGGGGTTCTATGATTGATATTCCCCCCGGGGGGGGGTGTTGTTCTCTTATATACTAGGCTATATTACCTTAGTTGTTTGTTCCGTATGGCATAATTTATTGTCTCACTCACTGTTGCAGATAAACCAGCATGTATGATCTAAAAGGCTGTCTTCTTTAGTAATTACAATCTTTTAAGTGACATATTATAAACTTGAATTATAGGTAGTAGTCCAGAACCTCTATTGTGTTTATGGTCCTTTGGAACGTGATATCATCTTAAATCAGCAGGAAGTTCAGAAACTGCTAACCATTATGATGCTGAACTTTAAAACTTTTCCAATTGTGGAATTGATTGTTGGATATTATCCGGATAAAAGTCATAATATAGTTCTTATGGGTGGTTTAAAAAAGCATGTGCCAGTTACAAATAACCTTGCGGATTAACTTGGCAGATTTTTGGTTCAATATTTGCTGTTGCTGGTGGATTTGTTGTGGGTAAGGAAGGACCCATGGTTCATACTGGTGCATGCATTGCCTCATTACTAGGACAAGGAGGTTCTCGCAAATACCGCTTGACTTGGAAGTGGCTCAGATACTTCAAAAATGATAGGGACAGGCGGGATTTGATCACCTGTGGTGCAGGAGCTGGTGTAGCAGCTGCCTTCCGTGCTCCAGTTGGTGGCGTTCTCTTTGCACTTGAAGAAGCAGCTTCATGGTTCTCTCTCTCTCTCATTTGGCTGCTCAGTTTTAAGTCATATTATAGGGGACGTGAGAGAAAAACTTGATCTAAGAAAGAAAATCAAGAGTCAAAACTTACGTAGCTTAGTTTTCTTGCCTAATAGAGGAAAACTTGATTTTTTTGAGATAAGATGCGAGAAGTTATGCTTGCGGACAAGTTAAGCTGGGTTTTGTATTTTTTGGCTTCCTCTGGTATCTTGATTTTACTGACTGTGTTGAACTGCTTTCATATCCATATGGAATTTATTTTGGTAAACAATAAGGTAAATTTGGAACGTTCTAAGGTTTTCCTAGTTCAGATCGTATTTACATTGAAAAGCTTTTGAGGTTTTTATCTTCTCTCTCCATGCATATATAGATAATCTGTGTCATCTTTCTGTCACAATCATTAGGTGGAGGAGTTCTCTTCTCTGGAGGACCTTTTTCACTACTGCTGTTGTAGCCGTTGTCTTGAGGGGTTTCATGGCAATTTGCCGAGGGGGAACATGTGGGTTATTTGGTGAAGGAGGTCTCATCATGTTCGACATCCATACAGAAAATTCCAATTATGGCACTCCAGATCTTATTGCAATTGTCTTACTTGGAGTTATTGGCGGTGTGTTCGGAAGCCTTTACAACTTCCTCGTGGATAAGGTCCTCCGAACCTACAGCATCATAAATGAGTAAGCTCCCGAGTTTGTCTTATTGACGATTATGGAAGAGTTAATTTCCTCCCATTTTTTACACCATATACAGTCCTGTTATTGTACGGCTTCGCTATACAGTTGAGTTTCCTTTGCAGGAGAGGTCCTGGATGGAAAGTTATCCTTGTTGTTGCCGTTTCCATATTGACAACCTGTGTCTCATTTGGTCTTCCTTGGCTCTCGCAATGTTTACCTTGCCCACCTGACTTGGACGATCAATGCCCAACCGTTGGTCGCTCGGGAAACTACAAGAACTTCCAATGCCCACCTGGCCATTACAATGATCTTGCTTCTTTATTTTTCACCACCAATGATGATGCCATCCGGAACCTGTTCACATCTGCTATTGACAAGCAATTTCAGCTCTCCTCACTTTTTATCTTCTTTGCTGCTATCTATTGTCTTGGCATTATTACTTATGGCATCGCTGTGCCCTCAGGGCTCTTCATACCAGTAATACTGGCAGGAGCTTCTTATGGTCGCATTGTAGGGAGATTATTTGGTTCGGTTGCTGATGCTGATCTTGATGTCAGTCTCTATGCCCTTCTTGGAGCTGCTTCATTTCTTGGTGGCACTATGAGAATGACTGTTTCCCTATGTGTCATACTCCTTGAGCTTACTAATAACCTTTTGATGCTCCCATTACTAATGCTTGTTCTTCTAATTTCAAAGACGGTGGCGGATTTTTTTAATAAAGGTGTCTATGATCAGATTGTGAAGATGAAGGGACTACCTTTTATGGAAGCCCATGCTGAACCATACATGAGGCAACTGATTGCTGGGGGCGTGGCTTCTGGTCCCTTAATTACACTCTCTGGGATCGAAAAGGTCGAAAACGTAATGCAAGCTTTGACAATGACAAACCACAATGGGTTTCCTGTAGTTGATGAACCGCCATTCTTGGACAGTTCAGAACTTTGCGGGCTTGTTCTGAGGTCTCATCTGCTTGTTTTGCTTAAAGGAAAAAAGTTTACAAAGCAAAGGGTGTCAATTAGATCAGGCATCATGGGAAGCTTCAAAGCACATGATTTTGCAAAAGCTGGTTCTGGCAAAGGGGTGAAACTGGAAGATTTGGACATTGACGAGGAGGAGATGGAAATGTTTGTTGATCTTCATCCCATTACAAATACGTCGCCCTACACCGTAGTAGAAACAATGTCGCTAGCTAAAGCAGCGATTCTCTTTCACGGGCTCGGCTTGAGACACTTGTTGGTAGTTCCAAAGACACCCGGGGTAAGATATGCTTTTCTAACAGTCTTACTATGATTTATGAGCAAATGCACTTTGTTTCTGTAGCATAACATATTTGATTTTAGTCACTCAATACACACACCATCTCTGCTTTATAATCAATGATATAATATAATGTTCACCAATGACAGAAACTTCCTGCATTTCATTCTTTGGGAAGGCAAGCTAGTTTGATCTCCTGGTTTATGCCTAGAATTATTAGAAGTTTGTAGAAGATCTGTTGAATTTAGGTTTAAATCCTAATATGATCATTTAACACGACATTGACACATCTTTTGTTCAATTACTTTATCCAAAGTTTTTAGTTTTTCAGACGTATTCAAATGATTCTGGGAGGATTAGCAATAGATACGAAAATATGACTAAAACCGAAATAGAACATTTAAAAGTTTAGGAAGTAAAATAAAATATCTCATCCGCAGATACTAAAACTATCGATTTAAATTTTTGAATCTAGTGATGATTTAACACTTTCTTGTTATATTTTGAATCTAGTAATCGTTTAACACTCATCGATCTTTTGCAGAGGCCTCCAATCACTGGAATCCTTACACGTCACGACTTCATGCCCGAGCATGTTCTAGGACTTTACCCCCACCTCAACCCCCACAAGTAGAGCAAGCAAGGTTCCTCTTTATTGGGGATAAAATTTCTGGGTTTTTCCATTCTGTTGGAAAATTTTGAAGCTCCATAGAAGAAAATCTATGAAATGAGGTACACAACTGGATAAACTGGAACTGTTTAGTGTGTTTATTTCCCCCATTTTTTACATTTACATGTCAATATCAACTCATTCAATCATTATTTATATTAGCAATCTTTCCCTCGGTTTGGGCTGGTGCTCTCGAGTATGAAATAAAGTGGCATTTGTAATTATCATATCATGTAAACAATTAATTTTTTTTAGATTGTATTGTTTTATTTTATCCAATTATCCATCTCTTTATGTTATCTTGTTTTACCTCCGTGTGTTTAGTGGCTTATGTGTTAAAGCCAACGGAGCTAGTAGGGGAGACACAAAATTGAAAATTCATGGATTTATGGTAAAGTTTAAAAAATATAGTGAAAATTTATCGGTCTCACTTTCTATCGATTAGTCTTGGTACGTCATGTATATGCAAGCACCAAAGTTTATAAATTAAAATTGCAACTTAAATAATTTTTAATATTTGCTTATAGTTAAAAGGATGGGTAGATGATCGTGATTGATAAAAGTTTGAGTAGGTGAGTGACATACTTCACATGTGATTTAGTTTTCTTTTTCCTCCCATTGGGGTATTTACATGAAAGAGAGGAAAAAAGGAATAATGAGAGACAAGCAGTGATTTACCATTAGTAAAGGGGATGTGATTTTGTTTTCATTTATCTCAATGGGTTTTTTATTAAAAAAAAGAAAAGAAAAACAATTGGTAGAGGAGATTTTGATCATTTATGAAATTTCAACATCCATATCAATAATATTAACGATATAATTGAAAGTTATTGATAAATATTGGGAGGAATAATTTATTAATGGGTAAGATACACTTTTTTTTGGTTTAGGAAAAGTGACATGGCAACAATTTTAAATGAGGTGGCAACTTTTATCATTTTTAAATGAGATGTACCTTCTCTTGCTTGCAGAGAGTAAAAAAACTAAATACGAATCCAATAAAAACCGAAACTATTTTTCATTTAAAAATTGCCATCTCCCCTATGCTACGCCACTTAACAAAAGTGATATCATTAATTCAGTTACCAAAAAGTGTATTTTACCATTTATTAATTAATGAATATTTGAAATATAAATTTGGTATGAATTAAGTAGTAACAAGTTTGGATAAATTGTTTCTAATTTTAGTGTGCTTTGCCGGCGATGCATTATTATAATAAATTATAAACAATGAAGAAACTATTTAATTGATCATAATTAATTAAATTTTAATTTCTATTATAAAAAATTGATTTTTTTTAGTTCAACTAAAATTGAATTTCTTGTACTAAAAAAAAACTAAAATTGAATTCTAATTATAATAATTATTAAATATTTTAGAATATACTCTTGAAAATTTTCTCATAAACTAACACAAAAATTTGTTTCACGTAGAAACTTCGGAATCATTCTACACATTTGATTTTCAACCATCTAAAGAATTGATTGTTTATTAACTCTATTTATTTCTTTTTGAAGCGTAAAAATCTTCGAAAGCGAAAAAAAAAACCTTTGAAAAAAAAATCAAAAGGCAAAAGAAAAAAAACAAAAAAAGAAGAAAAAACAAAAAAAGAAGAAAAAGGCAAACCGGGCTTGAAGTCGGCCACGTCATGCGAATTCCTGATCGTTATACTTCAGTTCTGCAAATTACTGAGTGGAGGAAATTGGAGCGCAGCATTAACATTGGCGGGCATGGCAGTAGCAGTGAGCTACTGCAACTCTTCCTCATTTCTCGGTCACTTCCCTTCGGTGAGTTCTTTTTAACATTTCGTAATTCGTCTGCGTTTCTCTGGTTTTGATGTTCATGTGGATAATTAGTCACGTTTTAATCGTCGGAGTTTCTGAATTTCTGGGATCCGATTTTGGTTTTGGGTTTCTTCGGTCATGAAAATGAATTATTATAGTATAGTTTGTTGTTTGCGAAGCCATGATATGCCATTATACTCGAGATACCTCTGTCGTGGTATATTTAGTTTTTGATACATATTCTTGATACTCCTCCTAGGTTATCAATATGGAGGGAATTTTTTACACTTATTCTTAATACTCATCTCACCGATGGGCTTGAAAATTAGCAGAGGAAATGATAGTATAGGGGTTCAATAAGAACTTTTATTTTGATACCAATATTAAATCCAAAAGCTGATAAGTTATGGTATATTAAATCGTTTACATATATTTTGTACAACAATAGGTGGGGTTGGAGATCCAAACCTCTAAGGAGGTTGAGGATATGATCTTTTGATACTCAAATAGAAAACCATCAACTACTTCTTTAATTGTAGGAAAAATTGAAGTCCAGAGACTTGGTTAGCTCTTCAGCTCAAGCAACTAGAATTAATGGGCTCTTTTGGGGAGCTAAAAAATCTACAGTACCAAAGGAATTTGATTATTCATTGGGAGATTTTACGTTGACAGGGACAGGCCCAGAGGTATATGCCTTTATTTTGATGTTAACTTGTAGTTTATAATAGATTATTTAGTTTCTTTGTTGTTATCACTGAGTTGTTCCATATTCAGGGAGTCTCAGTTTCCCATTCAAAACCTACAAAGTTGTCTCTTTCAGTTATTTCGTCTATTTCAGAGGTTTCTGCCAGTGACTGGGATGCTTGTGCCCTGGATACCACTGGCCCTGAAAAATATAATCCATTTCTAACCCATGGATTCCTTTCAAGCCTAGAAGAGACAGGTTGTGCAGTAAAGGTGAGGAATTAAGGCCTCTTCAGAAGTAGGGTTAAAAATGTTCAATTTTTGAGATCCTGACTTTGGAAATTTAATAAGCATATATATATATATTTTTTTTAAACAAGAAACAAACTTTTCATTGATGAATGAAAAGGAACAAAAATTCTTCAAAAAGAAAAGAGGGAAAACAGAGCATAAAACATAAAGAACAGTATAACACTTGTTTATGAAGTAACTATTTATGTATAATGAATTATTTTAAACAGATTAAGTTTTACCTTGTCTTGAAAAGCTACCTCATTGGCTTACTTTTAATTGGATTGCAGGAAACTGGATGGATGCCTCGCCACATTGTGGCTAAGGATGAATCAGAAAATATTTTATGTGTTGTTCCACTCTATCTTAAAAGGTTTAGCATCTATTCCTCTCTATTTCTTAATCTTTTTACGGTAGATTCTCGATTTGTATACTATATATTTTATGCTACCTGTTGAGAAGATCTGCTGAGTTTCATCCGTGGCTGCCTTTTCAACTTTTAACTCAATCTTCAATCTGCAGTCACTCCTATGGCGAATTTGTTTTTGATCATTCCTGGGCTGATGCATACTACAGTTTTGGTGCAAGATATTACCCAAAACTACAATCTTGTGTGCCTTTTACTCCAGTGACTGGTCCAAGAATTTTAATCCGTAACACATTATTCAGAGATGAAATCTTTGACATTATTGTTTCTGCTTTAAAAGATATGATTGTCAAGGTATGGCTACACATATGATTGATGCCTTCGGTGTACATTATGCCCTTTTGTCTAGATGGCAAATCATGTGTGATGTGATCATTCTTATGATAACATGCACTCTCTCTCTTTCTATCTCTCTCTCTCTCTCTCTCTCTCTCTCTATATATATATATATATATATTGTTACTATTTGCCTATGAAGATGGCTTCTTATTTGTCGGAAGAATGTAAACAACTGTTAGAGAGTTTGATTATCAAAGCAATTATATGTTATATTTTGCATATGTTTGAAACTTTGATGTTGTAATACCGTGTCTAAGAGTTTGTTGGTGGTGGTGTTCTTTTTTCCTAGGGGAAGGGACGGTGTTGAAAAACTAAAAGTGTTTTTTTCACCCCTAACTTTACTAGAACTCCACTATTTTTATGAAGAAACCGAGCTTTTATTGAGAAAAATGAAAGAATAGGAAAAGGCAAGAAAAAAAGCCTTGAAAAATGGTAGCCGAAAAAAGTAGCCAAACCGGAAACAAATCTAATGGAACAAGAAAGGGCTCCATTGTTCATGTCAGTTAGCATTTTAACCCCTTTGCTATTTAGTTGATGGAAAATTTGGGTTCGGCAGTAAAAGCAAGGATGGTGTTTAATTATGTCTGTGTGCTCTACATTTTTACGCAAGAAACCTATAGATAAGTCACATGTTGCATATCACTCAATAAAAGCATCTTATTCTGAGTTAATTACTTTGAACAGTCTCAGCTTTCGTCACTGCATATTACATTCTCATCTGAAAACGAATGGCAAAAACTAAGTGACAGAGGATTTCTGCAAAGGATTGGAATGCAGTACCATTGGAAGAATCGCAACTACAAAAAGTATGTCATTTGTTTGTTTTATTTCTTTAGTGTGGAACCGTTTTGTGATTGGTAGCTAATTTTTTCATTTGAAGGTGAGATTGCCAATTTTTCTATGAAGCACTCATGCACTAGGATTGTTTCTTCCGTCCATTTAGATTTCACCATCAACCTCTTCCCTTCTATTTTTCTGCAGTTTTGACGAGTTTTTGATGGATATGAAGCAAAGTAAGAGGAAAAATATTCGTCAGGAGCGCAAAAAGGTCAATATTTTTTTTATTATAATTCCATTATTTCGTATGATACCAAGTTACCAACATATCCGATTCATTATTTCAGCAGAAGTTGATGGCTCTTGAGTGTCTCTACTCTCTATAAAGATCTGAGTTAGACTAGAAATATCATTTTACTTTTGGTTAAGTTTATCTGCATGCTTTAATGCATAGTCTTGTCTATTGAACATATATATATTTTTTTTTTTTAACAAGAAACAACTTTCCATTAGATATATGTTTTTTTGGTCTATTGAACATATGTAATAAAGTTATCCATACAGATATACATGAGTACCCTAAATAAAAATTTCAATGAAGCACAAAATAATCAATGGGCTTCTATAGCTAAGATACTTTCATTAATGTAGATGATTGTCTTACTGTTTTACTATTGAAGTTTTGAATAGTATGGTAATTTCCATAGCTTATGGTGGCAATGAATTTTGAATTTTTCTTTGTGGACCTTCTGTGGCAGATTGGGGCTCAAAACTTGACTATGAAACGACTCCGAGGTTATGAAATAAAGGTAAAAACTGGATCTGTTAAGAATATTAGATAGGATTTAAATAAATTTTATTTTTTAAAAATTATCCTTGTTCTGGATTGTCAAGTTCATTTTACTCTAAAACAGACTAAAGTAGAATGAGAAATATCAAGAAGCAAGTTGTAGAAATATATATTTCCTATAAAAAGAAATATAGACTTTTATGCAACATATTTCTTGTTCATTTTAAGAAAGAAACTCATTGGCTGTGGATATATAAATTCTCAATGTATATCAACAGAGATCTCTATTGGCTGGGAAGTGATGTGCCATTTATATATATTTTTTAATAAGAAACAAACTTTTCATTTATAATATGAAAAGGAAGAAAAGTATTACAAACTCCCAAAAGGGAGCGAAAAAAGAAAGAAAGCAACAACAATGACTGAATAAAGCTCCCAATAATACAAGAGAATAGATACAATGAAGAGCAAAAAAAGTGAAATCTTGACAAAATGACAAGCTGAAAAACCAAAACTACTTCTTTAAGCTGTGAGAGTGACACCAAAATGCCAAATAGGAGGAAGGAACAACTAGAGTCCTTTGAAGAGGCAAGGAATGCCATTTGTATATTTAGCTCGAGTCCGATTTGTGCATTTATGGTTTCTCCCTACTTCATGAAATCATGTAAGGGGACTTTGTCAATCAACATTTTCCCTCTAAGTTAGAAGATTTTGGATCCCTCATTTGTCAAACGTCTTTGAAATGATTTATTCTTTGCTTTGATGGTAATCTCATCTATGATAATAAACAGTCTCTTGTAAATTCTAGCTGACGAATTGTTGTCTGTAGCAACCATTGCTTTATCTTACTGCAAGAGAATTAGGGGCACGGGCATCATTTGTTGTGATGTTTTGGCAGGATAAGCATTGGGATTCATTCTATACATTCTACAGGAACACTACTGATAACAAGTTTAGTCCCTACTATCAACCCCCTTTCATTTACTTGCCAATTGAGATTAAAGAAACTCTTGTTGTTGCTATCTTTTGAAAAGTATGATGAATTCGTAGATACACGAAAATATAATTAATTGTATTCAGTAATGGTTTTTTCATAGGTGGGGCACCCCTTATCTGACACGGGATTTCTTTCGTAACATGGCATCTAAGATGGGAGATATGGTGTTACTAGTTACTGCAGAGGAAGGGGATGAACTTGTTGCTGGAGCACTCAATCTTATCGGAGGAGATACTTTATTTGGGCGTCTGTGGGGATGTCACCCTAGGGCATATTATCCAAGTTTACATTTTGAAGCCTGTTATTACCAGGTGTGTGGGTATCATTATTTCACAGTACCAGTATAATAGGCATTCTCAAGCCAAGTCTCAAATAACCAAATCTGTTAGTTCCTTCTCCCTCTTTTCTTTTTGTTGGCTCTCAAAAAGTTCTCTGAAGAAAAGAAATATACCACCAGAAATGTGTGAGGTTACCAAAACTTGAGTTATGGGACCTTAATGCTTGTGGCCTTGTGTATATATTAGTGCTTTCAAGCTAGAAAACAAAAAATTTCATAAAAATAAGACATACAAATGAGATCATAACTCCAACTCCCTAGTTTAGCAAACATTAAAGGAGAAAATTCAAAAAATATTTATGAACAATACTCCAAGAAGGGACCAAAGTGATACTCTATCCCAAACCTCTCCTAAATCTTCCCCACAATTTCATTCTACTCTATTAACCCATGAAACTGCTCTCACTACACATCCACCTTTGCATTTGCTGTTCTTTTGTGGAATGACCATTGAGCACCACCAGGACAAACTCAGAAATCATGCTGTAGCTCGCATCAGGGAAGTTGAAAATACTTAGGATTCGAGTAAGATACCGGGAGAAAAATATTACCTTAGAAAATCGTGGTTGCCGTCCTCATAACCATCTTTGCACCTAGAATACATGTTGGTGGATAAAGACCAAAAGTCCATATATGAGGATTAAGCCTCATCTTTCCACCTCATCTTTGGAATTTCTTCTCAAGTTGTCAGCCTCCCCCTTCTTCATCCCACATCTTCCTTATAGCGAATGATTTCGAGTTTGCCACCCACCACCATACATTGAAAGAGGATTGTCCCATCCCAAACATCTATGCGAAAGAGAATTGAGGAACCATTACCCACCATGGACTTTCAGAGCTAATAACAGGAGTTGTTTACAGTGAGCCCCCAATCTAGTTTCCTACCTTGAGGAACCTTGATGCCACAATGAGCTTTATTTATAATGCTGTTACTAATATGCATTCTACTTAACTTTCAAAACGAAAGCTCCAAAACTTATTAGAATTTGATGAAATGCTGAATTGGCCTTGAAGCTCTATCCTTTTGGTTATATTCATCACAGGCAATAGAAGCAGCTATTGAACTTGATCTCAGCACTGTAGAAGCAGGAGCTCAGGGTGAGCATAAGATTCAACGAGGTTATATGCCAGTGACTACTTATAGTTGTCATTATCTTACAGATGAAGGCTTCAGGAGGGCTATAGATGACTTTCTAGTGCGTGAAGCAAATCAGGTAACTTTATGACCTTTTAGTCTCTTGTAAAGTTAGGTTATATTATAAATTTAGTTCCTAACTTTCATGTTGTGTCAAACGGATCCTTGAACTTTAAAGAGTATCAAATAAGTCCTTTAACTTTCAATTTTGTGCTAAATAGATTCTTCTTGTTAACTCCATTAGTTAAGTGCTTATGTGGCATGCTGACGGTACTATTTAAAATCACGCAGCTATGATGTGTCAAATGAAACTTAAAACATGAGATAAATTTTGGTCTAAAATTGGGGCGGGTGCAAAAAACAGGGTGGGTTCTAGGGTAAATTTTCTGAAGAGGTCCGTTGTTTATCCCAATTAATCGATTCATTAATCTCCAATTCACGGTTTAACCAAACTGTGCCTTTGCATTGATGTTTTACCTCATTCTCCCTATTCTGTGCTTGTATTTACCCACTGAATATAAACGCATCATTAACTAGAAAATGCGCTTTTGTCTCGTGTTCTTCGCATCGTGTTACCTACATACTTCTGAATGCATTGATACAATTGATTACTTTTGTTTGCAGGTTAAGGCCGTGACGAAACTATTGCATGATTCTGGACCCTTCAAAGAAGGTATATAAATTTAGGGCAGCCAAATACTGGATGGAAATTATTCCAATCCAAGATTGAAGAAGGGATATTGTAAAATCATCACATTTTACATGGAAGATCATCAGATGGGATGCTTGCTGATTATGGTCAGTGAAGGGTAAAATGACTGTACAGAGACTGAATTATAGCAACATTACTTTGTAAATGGAAAAGTTCTCAACTTTCCTTGGCCCACAATTGTATTATTTTAACGGGCCTCTGGTTTAAGTCCAACTAGGGGTGTTCAAAGAATTCGAAGACCCGAAAAAAAATTGTTCAACCTCCAGAGTTCTCTCTAGCACGAGAAAACAAGTATAAATTGAAACTAGAGATGTGTACCATGTCTTTTTCAAGCAATATTAGGGCTAGGACACACAACTTCTGATCCGGATTGTATTGAGGTGACGATGACATGATCGGAGAGGCTAATTTTAGGAAATTTGGACAAGGAAGAAATAACTTGGGTATGTTTTGAAATGAATATAATTAAATTTATTTGTTTTTATGTTTGTCTCAAGAAAAATAAAAAATTTACTTTTTCTGTAAAAAAGAATTTACTGTTTTAGGTTTTTAATATAAATTTATTAATTAAAAATTAAAATATGACACGTTAAATAAGTTATTTATTTTGAAATTCTTTAAAGTTCCATCAATTTAAAATCTTATGTGATAGCAAATAATGAAATGTATATGAATGATAAAAAAAACTTACGGTGGATTTGATCCTTGTGGATACCCGATTTGATCGAATAATTGATTTTTTTAAAATCATCGTAATTTAATAATTTAAAAGTAATTTTAACCTTTTTTTTATATCAATATTTTAATTTATTTATTTAACATGATCGAAAGGAAGTGATTTTGAGATAATAGATTAGGGTTCGTTAATATATTTATTATTTCCGATGGTTCGCCGGAAAAAAGTATTCGATTGAATTACTGTGTCACTCCCAGGCAGCGACGAGGCGGTCTTGCGTTGTTCTACTTGGATCACCATTTTGGAGCACGACTGCGGATTTTCTGGAGCCTAATGGAGGAACCTAAATTCGAAGGAGAAGAAGAAGAGAAGCCTCAGGTGGGTATTGAAGCTGGCCCGCTTGAGAAGCCATGTTTGACAAAGAATCTGTGCAGGAAGGAGAAGAGGAAGGCGTTGAAGAAGATGAAACGGAAGCAATTAAGGAAAGAGGTAGCACTGAAAAAGCTCCAGGAAGAGGAGGCGCGGTCGAACGAT